GGTTGGAAGTAAATGTGGGTGAAAAGTGAAATTTACTGTCTATCATTGTAAATGGGTAGATTTTGGTCACGTGCTAGGCAACGTATAATGAAGAACAAGATAGAATTTCATTTCACGCCTATTTATCAATTTTATGGTGTATAACTTTCGCATTTTAGTACGCAATATTTATTTTGAATCTTCAAGTTGTCTTGAAACTTAAAAGAAACTTGTTCTTTAAAAATTCACTGAAAATCGGTGGCCAAAATTATTTGCTTAGGTGTTATTTGATTTTCGTGTTAACCTGTAATTTCGTCAGTCGCTGGCACCTTTTGTTACTTCACACAGAAAAAAACACACGATACGAAATGTAATAAACGATTTTGTCCCCAATCTCACGCTTAACAGAAAAAACTTTTGAACACCTGTAAACTCCGAGCGCTTCGGAGTAAGTGATATTTTTAATGAATCTACGAATTTTTTTCAAGTTCAAGTATTGTAAATTACAATTTTATGAATAACGAAGGTTGTCCTCTTATTTCAGTGTGAATCCTCGCACGCCTGCCAGTTGCTGGCGCCACTTGTTGAAACTAAAACGAAAAAAAATAAACTCTTTTAAGATTATCATCGGCTTCTTTTTCACCCCACCACTATTCTTAGTAACAAAGGTCGCCATTTCGTTTGTTTACTACTCGCCAAAAACTATCAAATGCACTCAAAAGCCTAAAATCGAAAAAAAGTTTACAGGAATCGACCAATCGAGCGAGCGAGCGAGTGCCATTCTCCACATCATATCTACAACTCGCTCTTACGCGTGCGCGCAATTCACGAGTTAAAATCATGAGTTCGAAAATCGAACGTTCGATTGAATTCGATTGTACAATTTTTTGTGTGAGTTCGATTGCGTTCAATTTACTGTGCCGGGAGAGATTCGACTATAATTTCATTCCTTAGCGATGTCTGGAGGAAAGTTTTGTTTGGAATAACTTACGTCCCCTTTTCTTACGCGGTGTTTCATTCGATACGTTATCCATAGGACACGAGTGATGTTGCGACTTTCAGTGTTCGAAATTACAGAGTCTTATGCATAAGTGCATATTACGGAGTACTTTTTTCACTTTCTCGCATACGTCTCAAATTAAATTTAGAACATCCTCTCAGGATCAGTAGGTCTGTACACAGGGAACCAGAGTAGCTATGACCTTTTCCAAAGAAAATTTTGTTTTTAGAAATTTTGATTTAAAAGGTGCCAGATTTTAAAATAATTGATGAGAAAAAAATTTAAAACAAGTGAGCTGGAGTTAAAAGAAAGCTTCAACACCCGCCTAGTATCATTGAAAATACGTAACGTTTCCTTAATAGTATCAAGCTCGTTACATGCACCAATTAAGAGGAAGACTGGATTGGAGAGCGGTTTATGCAAAACACATACATACGCCACGATAGGTTTTGTAAATCTTCTACCATATTCGTTTTGTACTGCACAAGAGCATCATAACCATCACTGAGGTATTGAACATCGTTTTCAGTCCACAAAGATGCTATCGCGGCGTCATTCTTTTCCGCCATCTTGTTCTTGAAAGTTTGGAAATCTGTCGCTAAATCTTGCATCTGCCTCTTAAGGTTATCGTTGGCTTTTCTTAAACACTTAACATTGTCTCCCATGTTGAAAAACAGATAAATAAGGACTCACACTTCAGAAACTAACGATAAATTTTGTGAAATTTTCAGAGCGCTTCACTTCGTCCGCTTCACTGCGTTCGCCACCACGCACGATATTAAATAAGACTTACAGTTTTGAGATAGAAAGCAGCAATTGAATTATGGAAATAGGTGTACATAGATTAAATAATAAGGAGGGAAATCTGAGAATTCCTCGCTTCTCAACGTACAGGTTTAAAGATCTTTGCATGCACTTGAAGTTTCATGCTCTCTCTCATCCTTCTCTTCCTTTGTATTTCATTTGCTTTTTATTATTTTCATACTGTCTTGTATTTTGGAAGAAAAAATTTTGATCAATATATTAGATCGGTCTAAATCTTTCCGGGTGCTTCTTTTCCCACCCAATGAATTAATCAAAACTTTGGAATAGCAGTAACTGAATCTACAAATAACGAAGTCCGCCAAGTTACTCTCGATCCTAGAGCTTATCAGAGTCAAGTCCGGATCGAACAGATTTTTTTTTCTTGTTATTTTCGTAATAAAAACCGTTAAGCATTCGATTTCAACCCTTTTCCTTTAGGAATTGTGTATTTTCTCTGTTAATTTTCAATTTCGGAGTTCTGGCAGACCTGCAGAGAAACAATGAAAGTCACGCTCACGCATCCGTCATTCGTTCCGTGAGTTGAAGTTTGGGGCCAGTCTGAAGAACTTTTCCCCGCACGTGGTGAATACGCATGCTCAGGTATGATGGTGGAAAAACATGGCCGATGATGAAGATGACGATCCGGTCGTGGCAGAGGTTTGTTAGGTTATCATTGGAGATAAAAATGCACTAGTTACGTTGGAAGGTTATCATTTGAGACAAAATCTCTGTATACATCCACAGGTGGACGTTTATCTGGCCCAGACTTTGGCCAACAACCTCTACTTGTTTCAGGTACTACTTATTCTTCTCAAACATAACGAATCTTTCCGTATACATTTAATATTTGACATGAGCAAAGGATTGTCAACTTTGAGTATAATATTTGAGAGAAAGTTGTATTAGCGACAAACGGTTCACACAGTTCGACTTTAATTTCCGAAAGGGCTTATGTTGACTTCAAAAATTTAAGTTAACTTTGAGAGCTGCACTGGTTTGACAGATGTGCTTAGATTTCCACCTTGCAGTAAAACTGACATTTTTGCATCATCCACTTCTTGTTAAGTGTGGCCCTACTGTTCTCAAGCTTCCATATTTTGCCTATGCAATGCTTCCAAATATTTGCCTCAATGAGTAACTTGCCACAGGATATGACAATTCCTAGGTTTTGATTCGCGTGCTGACCTTTGTGCTCTTCAGAAAATTAGTCTTGTGCATGCTGTTTCAGAGAAGTCGTGAAAAAATTTCTGAATAGTTTATAAGATGTGTAATCTCTTTAAAAACAAGTGGACAAGCTTTCAAAGATATAGGCCCATACATTGTAAGTCTAGGGGAAAGGGGAAACCAATGTCTACGAGGCCTTTTCAAATTTTTTTGCAACCTTTTTCTATTGTTTGCATGTTTATAAGTGTTTGGGCTCAGTGTAAAATTGAAAGTTCTTACAGCCCAAGAGAACAAAAGTCTCACAACTTGATTCTGAAGGCTCATAGTAAATTTATGTCAAGGCTTTTATCTCACTTGCAATGGATTCAAGTGTTACTCTTCATTATATTATAGGTTCGAGACTGATTGAGATTTTTTTCTTTTCATGGTGTAATAACAACAATCTGACTCAACATGTTTGTTTTGCAGTATCCAGTCCGTCCAGCTGATATTACTTATGATAATATCCCTCATATTGGAGCAAGAATCAAACCAGACCAGCAAAAGGTGAGTGAGAAAGTAGAGTAAAATTATTGAGCTGAAAGTCCAAAACTTAGAATAGAATCCTGGCTAGCTCAGGTTATAGAGCAGACTGCATGCAAGAGGTCAAAGGTTTGAGCCCTAGGAGGAGACCAATTGTGTAATCTGTTTCTCTGAGGAGATGCAGTGTATCTCTCTCTGTTGTATTGTTTCCTGTCCAAGAATTGTTTTTATTGTGTGTCCTTAATGAATAACAGACAGTCCTGGATAGAGAGATGGATGTCTTTTGAAAGTACATGGATGTACCTGTTATACCTTAATTGCAAAATTTATAAATTATCTACTAATATACTTTGTCCTGGATTTTCAACTGTGAGTTTAGGTTGAACTCGAGCTGTCAATAAACACAAGTAGTGATAACTATTATGCACCCAGAGGAGAACAAATCGCACATGATGTGGATGGCTCTGCTTTGTCATCTGCCTCTGAAGGAAAAGAATCATTTTTTTCCAGGTACTAACATCTCCAAATTCCTTTTAAAAATTGACCATAGTATGTCTATTAACAGAACTTTTAAAGTAATACTGGTTAATGTAAAATTTGATACTCATTCTGTACAATTTATCATTTTTTCATTTTTTTTCCAAAGAGAATTTGATTAGCTGTCAAGCTCCTTTCATTATATTCCCTTGTGCTGAGCCAGGCTGGTAAACATTTTTCTTTTGGCCAGGTATAAGCCAGTAAACAACTGCAGGATTTTGAAATGCCCTAGTTGTTCCATAGGAATACCTTTTTTTCATAATGAAGTGTATGTTGTTTTTTTTTCCTCACTCTTATTAGTGATAAGATGGATAAGCAAGTGCTTTCTTCATCAAGAGCTGCAGAGGATGTGAGTCGATATTCTGTGGGCATTCTCAAAGGAGGTACCTAAGTAGAAAGTATTTCCTTGCTTAGTTATGAGGAAATAGTTATTGCCGTAGTTGGCAGATGTAAGATATAATAGAGCTTGAAAATCAAAAGACTTACTGCAAACACTGGCATTTAAACTTTGCCTTTTTCCCAAAATTTTTTTAACAAATCAGGGTTGCAGGTTCTTTATGACTGTCTGGAAAAACATGTTGCAAATTTGCATAGATATGAACTGCTGGTACTCATCAGAAATGTACAAATCTGTTGTAAACCAACAAGAACTTTATAAAAATATACTAGGATAGAAATATTGTTTTGTCAGTTTGGTAGCTTCTTTAAGAGCCATATCTGTTCTTAAGTGCAAGCTTATGTTCCAAATCTTCTTCATTAAGAGACTGTTTTATTGGTTTAAGGTCACCTAAACTTCTTTGAGCAGCTTTAAACTTTACTAGACAAAGAACCCTGCTGTATATTACTCTGATGAAATTTATTGTTCTAAAAGCTACTTGTGTCCCCTTTCTTCTGAACAAATGCCTGGCTGCTAAGCTACAAGCAACCCAACCAACAAACTTAAGATTTCCTGTTGTTTTATGTGAATTCTGTTGAAAACGGAATGAGAAAAACGAAATACTGGTTGAAGAATACCAGTGTAAGTTCAAAGATAAGTCTTTGATGTCTGTTCTATTACTAACAGCTGAAACTATGGGTAAGGATTCAAAGTATTGAAGTATTCATATGTCCAACAAAGCAACCAAAATAAAGCAACTTTCTTTAAGACTCCACTTGTGATATCTTTTGGTTTGCTTTCAAAAAACTTTTTTTTCCAAAATTTGAGTTAAAAAAACTCAAGGTGTGGCTTATCTGCAAGTGCATCCTATACATCAGTGTTTACAGTACTTAAACACAAGGCACTGCTAACAAAGTTTTATACTTGCTTTTTGTTGGGTTATCTAACAAACCCTTTCTATTTTGATTGCCTGACTTTTTATTTATTCAGTTATGGAGAATTTCTCCTGTTACATTAAACTTTTCTTCTGCTACTACATTTCTTGATAAAAACCCCAAAGTGGGATTTGAAAGCTCAATAATTATACTTTGCTAACAATAGCAAACATTTTTCAAAACAATATGCTTTTTGGGATATCAGAAACATCTGTTCCTGCATGAAGATCTAATGTGAGAGCCTTGTACAAGGCAGGTTGAATTCTCTCCAACCAAGGATTGATAGTCAAGAGAGCATAAACTATGCACAAATTACAACTTGCCTTGTCACACTACCTATGAACAGTGCAATGAAATTCAGAAAACCACAACTTTAAAGGATGTTTATGGTTTGTCTGACTACTTATGAGAGAAGTTTATAATATAAAATTTATTGAACTCTACAGGAGAGTTGCACCTGACACCTGTTCATGGTGTATTACAGCTCAGGCCAAGTTTTGAATATCTTAACAAGGGTGAAGCAAATGTGAATCAGGCTTCCAATCCTACAGATGAAGGTAACCCACAGAGCAATTAAATAATTTACACATAATTGATTTCATTTGTGGTTTTCAGTTAGAGTTTTCTCTTATAATTCATATTTTTTCTTGGATTAAAATTTGTTACACTAGTTTAATTTTTTTTGTTTTTGTCTTTAATTGATTATCATTTTGTGAAGTAAAGGAAGGAAATAATGAATTAGTTTGAAATGCCATTTTGCTAAGAATTTGGAACACAATAATTTTTATAATTTCATCATTACCTTTTAGGATACTTCCTAATTAAATATAACAACATTATTACTGTAGCTGGGATTACTATGTGTGATAAAATGCCTGTTTTTTCATCAGGAGATTCACAAGATGAGGAAGAGGAGGCAAAACCACTCACTGTTAGTGATGCTAGCCCTCATACATGTACATGTATTATTAATATTACATTTAGTCTTGTATAATCCTTGGTCATTAGCATCTTTAGGATTTTCTTTTAGCACTATCATGTGACATGACAATTTTGCAGTAGTGTTTTTTTTATGTATCTTTGATGTCTTGGGATGGACTACTCCTTCCACTGCTTACTCCTCAGAAATCAAGGTTATATTTCAACAGAAGAAGTTTATAGGACCAAAGAGAATCTGTAAAAATGAGGAGACCTCAAGAGCTGTGACAGTTTCTGTTTCAGCTTTCATGAGAGATTTATTTGTTATTCTCAAGAAGCTAGTTGAGTTTTTCTTGGTAGTGCCTTGTGCAACTCTTAAGCCCATCTCAAACTTTCCACATGCATCACTAACTTAATTTAATCGAGTGTAACAAGAACCAATACTTAAAAATATGGGTATGCAATATTCAGAAAATAACTATAATGTGTTTTTGAAAGAGTGTTCACTTTGAAACTTAGCATGTTTTTTGTAGCTTCTTAAACAATTTTGAAACTGTCCTGCCCCAATAATTTTCCAGGTCAAGTTTGCACGCCCTGAAACAGAGCGGGCAAAGGCTCAGCGGCTGTCATCTTTTAAATACTTGGAGCAAAAGAAAGCAGAAGAACCCTGGAAAACCATGGAATTTTATAATCCTCAGGTACTGTTTTGTGATTGCATAATTTTAATACATGACAGCTAGAGTGAACTCTAGTGAGCAAGGTCCCACTAACTTTTGTTTATAGCAGCCATAGGAGCAACAGTGGATCCTGAAAGATTCCTTAAAGGGAGTGTGGGTTACAATGATGGAGGTTTCACATCAACTTGACTCTGATTATAACTTTTCCTTGGCTTGCTAATATTTCAGTTGTTATCGTTGACACCATTTTTGTTCACGACTATTCACATCAGAATGATCAAACTACACCCTCAAAATACATATATTTATGTTCACCGTTTGCTGTTCTTTCATTTTTGTTTCCTTTTTTCCTTCTAGAATGATATTGCTGGTGTAGAACATAGTTTGTTATTTTGTCGAGAAATGGAATCAGAGTCACCAGAGTTCAACCTCCATCCAAGGTATTTTTAATTAAATTACTGTGACTTTATGAAAAACATTTATTTTTTTCTCAGAGAGCATGTTAATGAATCCTGCAATCTGTGTGGTTCTTAGTGCAGTCTTATCTCTGCCCACAGGCTCAGGAATGCTTTTTTGAGTCGCTAAGTACATCCCTGGCTTTGTTGCCATTTTTCAAACATACATTTGAATTTTAATTACAATTACTTCCCTTGCCATTTACTTACTGAGCTGAGGTATTCTTTTTACATCGATCATTGATGGAAGGGAATGATACTTTCTGTACGATCGTAGAGTGTTTGTGAAGAAAAAGTTGCTGTGACAGTCATTGAACTTGAGTTTGTTTGCCAAACTGGTGCTGTTGTTTTTTCAAAAGTGTACATAATTAGGCTTTTTTACACACTCTCTACTTGACAGGTGTCAGATTATGACAGAGTCTAGTAAAACAAATGTTTCAAAGTTTGTTTTGAAGCCTTTTAAATCACATTTACAATTACTAACTCCCAATTGGCTTGTCAGCTCAGTTACTAGCTCCCAATTGGCTGTCAGCTCAGTTGGTGGAGCACTGCTATAGTATTTTCGACATCATGGGTTCAACTCTTACATAGGCCTGAATTTTTTTTCAGGTTTTATTTTCACTACTGCTAAAGCAGTGTTCATTACTGCAAAGATTACTGTCATATTCATGTATTGTAAATAACATATCATCAATAATAGATTTTTCTGGCATTCACCAAGATATGTTGGATTGAAGGAAAACCCACAACAAAACAGAACAAAGTGAAGACATTACTAAACACGCAGGGTTAATGTCATTATGGAGTAAAATAATTGATAGCTTGTATTACTAATTGCACAAGTGTCAGTTGGAGGGTGCTGAATTGACAAATGGAAACAGTCCCAAGAGTTAGATTTGGTCTTCTCCCTTCAGATTTAGAAATTAGGTGTACCTTAACTGTGCAAAAAAATTTGCCTTTTTTTGAGCGATCTGATCAGCAACACTCGCATCTTACAGCCTCTAATTGTTGATTGAGGTATCATGAATATGGTGCATTAAGAAATCATCAAATGAAGAAAGTGAATTACAACAGGAAGCCTCTGCAACTGAAAAGTTGATAGTAAACTCTTATGCATCTTTCCACCACCCGACAGTGAATTATTTGGATCCCAATTGGGATTTCTTATATACCAGAAATTTGTCACTGTATGATGTTTTTTTGTTTTCCTTTGTCAGCTGTGTGATTGCATGTTATGGCAAACAAAGGACATTCAGTGTGTGCAAAGTAGTGAATGCTTTATGGTCTGAGGTCATCACTATCATGTGTGGCAATGTTAGTTGTATTTTTGAATATTAAACCTTGTTTTTGTGTTTCTCAAAATTGTCATTTTTTAAATAGGGATTACTTGAAGTTATTGACTCCATCTACTTCTCAGGAAGAAAGGTATTGAGCTTCTTATTTTTGTTGTTGTTCCTTGCTTAATCAGTTCCAGTGTAAAGGTGAAACTCAGCGGAGTTTTTAAATTTGTTTCAGCCACATGATTTCTGCTGAGGACATGAATGTGTTCACATTTTAGGCCAATTTTATCTTTCATTTTGTACCACCAATGGGTGGAAAGACTTCATAGTCAGCAGTTTTTTGATTAAATTTGCTGTAATTTCCCAACTGACTGTTGATTATTTTTCAGTTCCAAGCCACCTGTACCCAGTAATGTGTTATCCATGACACAGCTCAAGACTATGGACTTGGCAGATCAAGTCAGGGCTCTTCTTATCAAGGGTGAGTCCTTTAACTTGCTTTTTGTGTATCAATTGGATATGCAATCAAATTTCTTAAAAACTTTTATGACAATAGAGTGTACCAAGACCAAGATAGGAATGGAAGGATCCTGTGGTGGTAAATGCTTATCATTCTGTTTGCAAAGTGGGAAGATGAGCCAGTAATGGTTTCTTTAGATATTTATTTACTCTCGTTATTCTTATGTGCTATTCTGTTTATCTCCAGCCAAAGTGATCAGTTTCTCACAGCTGTGCAGACTCTTGTCCCCAGCAGCAAAGGAAGCATCAGTGTTGAAATGCTTACAGCAATATGCTGTCCTGGTGCAGGGTTGCTGGGTAGTGAAAAGGTAAGAGCCTTTTTACTGGAACCTTCTCTTTGGTACATTTAAGTATGCACAATATGGCAGCTTATTTTTCAACAGTATTTCAACTGAAAATATTCTTAGTTGTGGTGACTTGGCAGTGGGTAATGTGTGTTTTTTTTTTTTTTGAAAGTGAGTTGTTGTATCCAGAGGGAACCATCAGTCCTAGTGGTGGAATTGCTGCTGATATTTTATGCAAAGGAAGAGACTATTTAGTAAGTTCAGGAATTTTAGTTTGGTTATGAGATTTTTTACCTCTAGACAAAATTGTTTTTTTTCTGTTGCATTACAATACCATTCAAATGATATCTTTGAAGGGAATGGGCTCAACTTGAAGCAATTATTTTCAACTGCAAAACTTGTGCAACCTTTAGAAATTGCTTACAGTTATGAACAAGGAAGAGGAGGAGGTATATATTAAGAGAATTTCTGCTAGCTTTTGGATGGACCTTGCTCCCCCCAACAAGAGCTTCATGTAACAGGCAGCTGTGCTTGGAAAGGGGCCGCAAGACAAAACCCAAACATGGGAGCCTCCTTTAAAGCTAAACAGACTGCCATAAGAGGATTTGTAGGTGGAGGTAGACTGGTGGTAAGCGGCTCTTAAAGAAACACCCGTGGTTGTAGAAGTTACCTTGATTTATTTATCAGCACATCAGTCCTCATGTATGTAGAGACTGGTTTGACCTGCCTTAGAGGTGATTCTCACTTTTGCTATTTCAATTTGCTTATTGGCTTCATTTTTATACCATTTCTTTGTAGATGTGGAGATTTACCCAGAGCAGAGTAGTTGTACGAAAAGATATCAAATCAGTTACAAAGGTCAGATTTGACTTCATGTACAGTACTCCCTGCCTCCTGCATCAATGATAATTTAACTCCCCTAAAAGAATCCAGCATCTAATTATTTCTCCTTCCAATATTGCCCCTGAATCAAACATTTAGGTCACAAGAATAAAGGAAACGATCACTTATTTTAAGAAGCTCTTGTTTGTTCAACAAATTCTTTGTCAGTACTTTTGGAAATGTATAGAGAACAGTTTGGAGAATATGCATACTGATGTTCAACAAAGGGTTGAAATGATCCACACATTTGTTACACTTTATGATTTTATAGTCATTTTACGTACTTGTCTTGTTTTATTGACAAGAAATAATTTGTTGTAAAAATTAGCCTAAAGCAAACAGTACATGCAGAGTCGATTGAAAGCAACACTTTTCATGTCTATGAGGACAGAATGTGTCATTTCTCTGATGACGAAGAGGCACATTTAGTGGCATCTTCTGAAAGTCTATGGTGTAGACGTCATAATTAGCTGTACAATTACTTTTTAACAATCAGCAATTCTTGTCTTTTTCAGTTACCGAGTGAGGACATCAAAGAAATGCTAGATCAGGTGAGCTGACATAATCAATTGCAAGGATTTATCAAAGATGTAATATGTATCAATAAATATTATCAATTCATTCATTGATTGTACGCGCAAGACTAAGAGAAAACTCTTAAATCCCGCTCTGCAAAGAATTACGGCTGCAACCACCTGTTCAGCAGCTATGATCTCACACTGAGCTCATTAGAAGAACTTCATGGACAAACAGGACAAGCATTTTAGCATTGTTTATATGAATTAAATGAAGGCCGTATCCTTTGGATGACAATTTTTTTTCTCATTAATCGTTTACCAGATAATATGCACAGGTTCGATAATACCCTTTCGGAATTAGCCTCTATCTCATATACAGGAGAAAATTGGGATCTCTTCTATATACGTGTACGCTATTTTTGATCAGATTCCTTTACGGGGAGAAAAGAAGTCATTCGCATTTTTCACGCCCTCGATATGTGGCTTCGTGGCTTAGTAGGTAGTAGCACTCAACTACTTTCTGAGAGGCGTGGGTTCAATCCCCGTTCAAGCCTGAATTTTTGCAAATTTCTTTTACTGCGATAATTTTAATGTCAGTAGGTCACCTTCGACAGTTACGACTGCTCAAGAATGATGTTGGTGTTTTTAATCAGCCTTGAGTTGCATGTATACTCACAGGACTAGAAGTCTGCACTACTACTCAGTATTATTAACTATTTCAGTAACAAACTTTCTCGTTTTCATTGTTATCTAGATGTCGCGAATGAAAGTAACTATAGGCTGGGAGTTTGTGCTGCCATATGATATAGAGTTTGTTCAAAAGTAAGTATAACGTCCAATTTCGCTCAGACTAAGGGCTTAACGCTCGAAACGACAGTTCAAAGTCGTCGACACATCTGGCGATTTCATACGCCGATCTCGGCGATCGGGCGAAAATCGCCAGGTGTGCCCGGTGCGGCGATGGCGATTTTCGCCGATCACCGCGATAGACGTATAAAATCACCGATATCTGATAAGCCTGATATTGGCGATTTTATACGCCGATTGGAATCGGCGAATAAAATTTGCCAGGTGTGACACCGGCTTAAGAAACTCTTTACGGTGGCCAATTTACTTCATCAACTTAGTTGGTGAAACCAATTTAACTTGTAATATCCTATCGAATGACTTATACCAAGAGACATCAAGAAAAATGAACGGTCCGCCGATTATTTTATCCTGGAGAAGCGTATGAAACTTTGAAGAGATTGGATATTCCCCCAACTGTGGCTTTAAGTACAATTCTTTGCTTGTATCGTCCTTGAGCCCTCATTTTGTTTTACTGTTCATTATCAATCGATGAGATCAGTTCTTTATTTGTTTATTTATTTATCGGTAGGCACCCTGATGTTTACAAACAGCAGCTGACCATGTGGGAAGCCAAGTATCAAGTGTAAGTGTATTTTCTTTTCCTTCTTATCGATAGAAAGTTAACCCTTTGCCCCGTTGAGGTAACTAGTATGTAATTTCTCCTTACAATATCGTCCCTGAATCACATAGTGAGGTCATGAGAAAAAAGGAAAATGATCACTAAGTAAAGAAGCTCTTGATTTTTCGACAAATTCTCCTCCTCAACACCTAAGGAAATTTATTGAGAACATTATGGAGAATGTGCATACTGATGTTAGGATGTAAACGGCTAAGTCAACCGGAGCTAGTTCCGATCACTAAAGCGACAAAAGGGTCGTTACTCCCCCTACATGGACTCCTTGTCCAGAGCAGGTTATTCAATCCTCTCTATCGAATTTATTTGGTTTCCTCAGTTGTGCTGCGCTGGTAACCTTTTGTTTTCTCTGGAGGCGAGAGACTTTGAGAGTGAAGTGTTTTACCTAAGAACACAGTAACCTTGTAATGTATCGGTCTTGGATAGAACCGCTGTAACTATTAGTGTACTGCCCATTATTTGGGATCACTTTGTAATAAGGGTGACTGTCCTCAGGTTCACTGTAGTGGGGAGTTTCGTAACTTTTTCCCTAAGCGCTTGCCGAGGGTGCAATTGGCGGCTGTGCCCCGAAAAGGGACCTTTAACCCCTAAGAGTGATTCGCATTTAATTTCTCCTCACAATATCATCCCTGAATTACACATTAAGGTCACAAAAATAAAGAAAATAATCACCATCCAAAGAAGCTCTTGATTGTTAAACAAATTCTCCCTCTCAATACTAGGAAATACATAGAGAATAGTGTGGAGAATATGCAAGCTGATGTTAGGGTGTAAAGGGTTAAGTGAAACCTTAAACAAACAACGGGAAGAGGTCTAAGAGGCGGCAGTAGACCTTCAGTAACCAGCTGTTATTCCTTATCAACTTAATCATGCGCACTCTTAGCGCCGACTGAAGTGTCTGATCGACGGAGGTGCTCCGTTAAGAGACAGTACAGTCTAGTGTGACAGTCTAGTGTAACAGGCGACGTTATTAAGACGTTACTGACGTAAAACTATCAGATCAAATGAATTAAAAGAACGATTTTATGCTTTTCGACTTGACCGTGGGACTACGAAAAAATCTGAGGCCCACTTAAGGAGTTGTACCGCAGACTTTTAGACTTCGCAATTCGACGTTCCAATGAGTATCAGAGAGTTACAACCAAGTTCTCTGTTGCTCAGTGGTCGGGCACCGCGCCGCAAAATCCTGAACTTTTTCCTTCGTCCTACGCTTGTGAAAAGAACGAAGAACATCTTTGTATATTCGATGACCGAGCGGGAAAAAAAATGATCTTTCTCAACTTTTCTTCTAAGTCTTCAAAAACAACTGAATGTTCCAAAACAAGACAAGCTTGGAATAGATCTTAAGAAGATAAACACTGGTGAGTTATCTAATTTCGTCGAGTCCGTGTGCTTGTTATAATGTTACGTCAGTATTACGTGATTGTTTCACGCGTGCTGCGTGTCTTGTATGATTGTTACGTTTGTATTACATGATTGTCCCACGCTTGGTATCTGTATGTTTTGATTGTTACGTCAGGCTTACGTGATTGTCTGAGGCATGATGTGTGTCTGTTTTGATTGCCACGTAAGTATTCTTTTGTTTTTGTTTCAAGCTTGCCGCCTGTCTGTTATGATTGTTACATCAGTGTTACGTGATTGTCTCGCGCTTGATGCGTGTTTGTTGTAACTGTTACGACAGTGTTACGTGATTGTCCTACGCTGTTTTGATTTTTACGTTGGTATTCAATTTTTCGTCTCGCGTGTGCCTCGTGTTTTTTTCAAGTGTTAAGTTGATATTACGTTATTGTCTTGCTTTTCCTTTCCGTCTTTTATAGATTCCTGTCCCAGCATAGGAAACAAAAGGGTTTCTAAGCCTTCCAAATCCAAGTCGAATCATGTGATGAACCACAACACATCGCAGGATGGATCCACTGAGGAGGAACACTTACCAATGGAAATTGACTGTAAAGAAGTCGCTAGTAATAATATGAATCATGAACTGCGTAAGGAACCTCTGGCGACAAATGATACACATGTTCAGGATTTGCTTAAAATCTTACAGGACTTTGTTCGTGAGAAACTGCACAGAACAGTTTTAAGTTTAGCCGATTTTAAAAGGCTGTTGCTTCTCCGGCAAACTGGTAAGTGAAGTAATTAGTTATTCGTTAGGGGAGAGTGGTTTACCTCCCCCCGCCCCCCGTCGTGTCTTCCAGGAATGTGAAATTGAGCATTGAATTTTTTCAGTGGTACAGCAGTGCTGGTCGAAAGGATTTTATGGTATAGCGGGTTTTGATTTGAACAGATTTTTACGATTAGTTCTTGTAACAAAAAAAAAATCAGATCTAGGGAAAATTTATCACAGTAAGGCCAATTAAGAAATGAGAACAATTCCCGGGGGAGTAGGCAAGTAGAAGGTATTTAGACCCCCTATGATTTCTAAAGTATTCAGCAAATTGCTTTTAAGGAGAAAGTTGTAACTGACAGGTAACAAAAGACGACAATATCACTTTAACTTAAGGTTTGAATGCTCTACAAGAATGAACAGAGAAAGTCAAGAATTAGTTTTAGCAGAGATTTTAGCCATTTCGAGCGGCAAAACTTTTATTTTCTCGTCACCAATCTCTAAAAGACTTCTTTAAATTTTTCAAGCTGCATGATGTGTGACTTGAATGCCTGACTGCACGCCAAGCACTCAACCTTACATGCACAAATTGAACTGAAGTAGCATTAGACTAGTCTTAAATGTAACAAAAATAGTGACATCGATATCCTCGTTCTTGTAAAGCAATATTGAGGCCCCGTTATGATTAATTTTTTTGTGTGTGATCGGATGAAACTGAGTGAGAGGTAAAAAGAGTCCTGACGGTGTGAAAATATCAAATAAATTATGAGCATGAAGTCCCACTGATACTGATAGGATGCGGTCTATGGCGTGAGGGCTAACAAATTATTTTCTCTTTGAACCTAATGTTAATTTATTTTGTTAGCAAGCAGCCCAGGAGATCCACTATGTTCAGGAGTGCCCGACGTGCTCCTGGAAAAGGCGATCCTCGGTACAGGAGCGACAGAAATAGATTTCAAGGTGAGTACGAAACCATTCTGATCATTTATCGGAATTTGGCAGGATGTACTTTTATTCTTATAAAAACAATGCGGAGAAAATTGTTCGCGTCTTTGTTTGTAAGCATTTAGAGCATTTTTTTTCATTACAGTGGCCCACAGAAGCGCTGTCAGGCGATATACAGTCACGCAGACTATTTTCTTTCAGAAGCACAGGTGACTCGGCAGATGAGGTGAGGCTTTCCACAAAAGAGGTTATGTTGACGCTTTAAATTTGACAAATATCTTTTGCAGTAATGCGTTTGACTAATCTCTCCCTCAAAGAAACTAACTTTAATGAAAAAAGGTGTAAGAACGTCCTGAGACTTATTACAAAGCTTGGTTGTCCCTAATCCTTTACACTCTAAAATCAGTATGCTTATTCTCCATACTGATCTCAATACATTTCCTCTAGTGCTGAAAAGGAGAAATTGCTGGATAATAAAGAACTTCCCTGGTTGGTGATGAATTCCCTTCATTCGCTTGACCTTAATGTGTGACTCAGGGGGGGGGGGATATTTTAGGGAAATTAGGTGCTAGTCACTCTTAAGGTTTAAAGGGCTGATGAAGGTAGTGAGTATATTTATACCACTGTGTCTTATGTGAAAAGCCCAAATCACCTCGCTTTGTATGCTTATCGTTGGCATTTATGCTTTAGTATCGAGCTCTGTTACTGGACATGTTCAGCAAATCCTGGGTCTTGACCAGGAAAGAATTTAACGCCAGGGCCACGGAGCAGGTTGGGGCCGTGCCTGGAAGAAAGGAGTGGATGACAATCCAGCAGGTAAATGAATGTGAAGATTCTGTCGGTAACTTGAAGGCTTATCAGCTTTTATAACCAATGATTACCCTGTTTTTCAAATGTAAGGCAAATTCTTATCGCTGCTTCTGTTTGGAATACCGGTGGCCATTCAGAGTATTTTGGTCAATAAACTGTTGTCTATGCTAGAGAGCAAAGACGTGTTATCTCACTCAGTAAGAAAAAAAATGTCCATCTTTTGTGGATCAAGTCCCCTTACTTGTCGTGGAAGCCCTGTGCTTATATTTACCCTTCGGCATGACATTTTTTACAATGCAATGGTAAATGAATCAGGAAGCGTACATCCAGGTATGCACTCGACTGTCACAGCTGATCGGTTTAGTGAGAACACGTAACAAAAGTGACCTACAGATGACGCAGAATATGAAGATTTTTCAACCTTGACTTCTCTCTGTCTCTCCAAAGCCGAACTTACACCCACTAACCATTTGGCGTCCGAATATCCACCTCGTCACTTACGCCTTATGGCACGTAAAATTCTCGAGCCACGCGTGCGAAACATAAACTGAATAGTGCGCACTCAAAATAAGGTATATTTATGATTACGATAACAATGAGTAATTCACAAGTGTAGTTAAAATGTTCAAGTTATTTTGTTTTCTTTTTAGGATTTGCTTGAGAGGATGAGCAACAGGCATAGCCAGTGGTATCTGCGGGGAACATCCACCATTCTAACAAATCTATAGCTCCTGGTGAATAAACCATGTCGTTTTCTGCTCATTGGCAGACAAGCTTCATGAAAGGCGAGGCTGACATCGAGTCAAGCATGCGCATCACCCAGTTGACGTTCAGAGTTTGACTGTTCTCACCGAACAGTGTAATCCTTAATATGAGGACAAAAAAGCTTGGTCTTGAATGAATATCTGCGGGCGATAGTTTATTTTTTTCCTCGGGAGAGACGTACAAATTTTATTCACATAATTGCATAAAAGTTTGGTAGAAAGAAATGAAACTACTGCATGTACTAAATGAAACGCCGCGGCGGTTTAGAAATTTATAACTTTTCCGTTGAACCGTTTATGTTAGGGCAGTGTCTATTCCAAAATCACATTTTGTAAACACTGACAATAATCATGCTTTGGAAAACAAAGACATGTTTAAGTTCCAGTTTCTCGCTTTTTTTTTTTCCGCGATAGATTCATAATGGGCCTAATTGGAATATCAGTGCTACATGGCTTGGTTAGATTATTGAGTTTTTCCAAGAATCCATAAAAAATGCTGCCCTCTGTTGTTTTAGGGTGGCATTATTCGTGGGCAGTGTCTAGCGGTTATTTTACATCCAATTGCGCCTTGTTTTGGTGAGCGGTGTTTATCTGAGTAAATACGGTAAATGAAATTTGTCTCTTGAGAAGTTTGAAAATTTAGCTTGTTGTTTTTCTCGATTGTCTCCTGTGACTGAGAATGTCTTCAACTTGCACAGTAACGTGTAGCAAATCATCGTCAACAGAGTAAAAATTGCAGCTTATTCTTCGGTTTTTTAGAACACTTTTTTTATATTCCGGTGAAACAAGATCAATGCAAAAAAAATTTTAACCCCTCTGCTTTTTGTGACTCTAGTTTTCAAAGTAATTCGTTCTTGCTGAATTGAATATCTTTTATATTACGAGGATTTTGTTTTATCTCAGGCGTCCTAGAATATTAGAATAACCTTGGTTCAGAAGTCTGGACAAAGTAAACTATTGCTCGTAGATAAATGCCCTTTATGCCAAAGGGCCTACCGAGTTAAATTACATCAGTGTGAAAACGCAAACAAGAAAGGCCTCTTTGAAGACCACTACAGAAATCGAGTCGCAATCCTCACCCAGTGTGAAGCTGATTCTGCCAGGGGCCTTTCACCACTGTGGCTGGCAATATGACCAGATTATCACTCTTCTTGGACTTTGTTCCTTGAAAGAGTTCAACCAAGTGGAAAACTATTGAACAATTTGAAACAATGTATACAACAATAGGACTTATTTATTATGTGCTCAGATCACATTGAATTGAAATTTCACATGTCAAATGACTGTACTAGATGTTTCGTAGCAAAAAATTAAAAACGCATTTCGTGAACTGATCTTTCTGAAGTAGAGGGTTAGTTACTGACCCACAACCACCATGGCAAATTTGTTTTCACCACGGTAAAAATCCATCTTCTTTGCTAAATGTTCTCTTCCTTCCATCCACCAAGGTGATTCAGAGAGCGAGGAGACATGACAGACCCTGGGAACCAAGTGGGGTTAAGATTTTCTTCTCGAGGAGATTTACACCACACGTCACATCATTGAAGTTCGTGAGGTGCAATGGGAAGGGTTCGCTCATAGCCCAATATTCCTGATAAAGTATTGAAAATTGAAAAATTATTTTTTTAAATTTTAGACCCTTGAAAGTATGAAGCCTAAAAGCCTTCTATTTTCTTTTTTTCCCGGAACTATCAATTGCAGCTCGGTTATCAGTGCTGTGGAAAATCTTGCATTTTTGATGGTTGACGGTTAACCATATTGAAAACGTCTTGTAGTAGTGCCAATAGTCGTTTTACTTCCGACTAGTAAGCATGTTTTAAATAAGACTGAGGAAGAGCAGGTGTATAGTGAGAGTGGTTATTGTTTTAAGGAAAATGCAAGGATACTTTGCAGTTATGCAAATCCCTTAAAAAGTACAACTTTGACTCTTCTGTATCCCGGCAAACAACTTCATCATGTGCTCAAGTTTTTGGCAATTATTTCGACAATGCCGTTACTGTTATCCTTCTTCCAAATTAACAAAGATTTACAAGATGGTAGAGAGAGTGTTTTACCATAAACATATGGAAGAATTCCGTGATAAACATTTCCTACCAGCAAAGTCTTAGAATCCGATGATGGTACAGTACTGTAATGCAATCCGCATGCGTTTACCCCGGTGAAAAGGATTGGTCGCTAAGGCATTTCATCAACGACATGGCAGCCGATCATATTCAGTGTATATACGTGGGAGAACCGCAGAGCACTTAAAACCACCAGAAACTGCAGAACCGAGCCTTGAACTGACAGTCTAGTGGCGAGAGTATTCCAAACCCAACTGAGTCTCCTCCCTAATCAGTCCCATCTACGACGGTAGTGCCATAAGTACGAGCGACACGTGCCCGATAGAGGTCCACCCGTGTAATTAATATTGGTAATTGAACTGAGCGGAGTGCAATTTGGACTGAAATCATACGCGTGATTTCAAAATCGTTCGATTTGTAATCACAAGTATGATTTCAGACCAAAATTGCACGACACGAGGTTCAATTACCACTTTATTACATCCATTTTGAAATCGCCCAATTACAGGACTTGGTCAGTTCAAATATTTTATTGATGCAGTACTAAGCCGGTTTGAAATTAAATTCATCCATTTTTGAGAGGGAAAAAATTGGAGTTTTGGAAACAAAAGTTGCAAAAAAAATTTGCCACATGATACTCTTTATCTTTCATTTTCCTGCAATTTGATTGGGTACTTTAAACAAGGCTTGAAATTTGATTGGTTGTTTTATTTTTATTGTTGCCTCCTTGTTGGCTGGGGAAAGATGCAATTTAAAGCAAAAAATGGTGCAATTCATGAGTGAATCACACCAATTAGAGCCAATCAGATTACAGGAACCACCAATGATTTCAAAATGGGTGTAATAAAAAGACTATAAATATCAACTGTCTAAACTGACTATTGTAATTTTTTTGTTTTTAGGTGCCATAACAGTTTTGCTTTATGTAATGGTTTCCTTAAACACCAGAGAACCGCATTTGAACTTTGTTAGTTACTCTCTAACTTTTTAAATTTTGATTTGAAAACTAGGAGAAGAGATGCAAGACATGTAACTTATATCCCCCCCTTGCCCCATTGCAAGATCATGTGACACGAACCAGAGCAGCCATTGAATTGAGTCTGTTTAAACAATACACAAAAGAATTCCGCAACAAAAATTTCACTTTAATTTTTCTTTTTGCTGCAAGGCACCAGGCAAACACCATGAATGAAAATGAATTGAAGACCTTCATTTCTGAGAATATCTAGAGTGGGAATGGCAACTGGTTTTTCAGTTCCTAGCTGGACTAATGAATGATACAGACGAGCTTCCAAATGAAATATTCATCAACGTGTTTCCTGTGGAAACTGAAGAGAAAGAAAGCAGACTCTACAATGAACAATCAACAGAGAATCAAGAGCTAAGGAAAGTGACCAGTTGGCTGACTGAAGACGAACATCATTTAGTGGTAATACTGTTCAAACATATCAATGAAAGCTATGAGATGGAGTCAATAGTTCAGAGAAAACTACTACAAAATAACTTTATGTGACCTCACTGTTGTTGATTGCCCTCCATTTGTTAAGGTGTTTAACAATTCAACAATTTTAACTCTTAGGTTTGGGGAAAAACAACACTGACACATTAGGTTGCTTAGAGATTTGTAAATTGTTAGAATGTAGTCAATCTAGACTGAGCTGGTTAAACCTCATGAGCAATCAATTGACAGATGAAGCAGCAAAGTATTTACAAAAAGCGATAAGCAATAACTGTCAGCAATGTGCCTTAATCCTGTCAGGAAGTTACATCAGTGACAATGAAGTATGGCACCTGCGTGAAGCCATCATCAACAACAACTGTCAGCCACCCACATTAGACCTCAGACAATAAAATCAATGACAATGCAACACAGCACTTTGCTGACACCATCAACAACTGTCAGCCTTGCACCTTAACCTCCTAAAAAATGACACCAGTGACAATGGAGCACAGCACTTGCCTAAAGCCATCAACCTGATCAACAAGATTTGTCAGCTATGTACTTTAGACCTCTCATACAGTAGCATCAATGACAAAGGAGCACAGTACTTGGCTTAAGCCATCAACAACAACAACTGTCAGCTACCCATGTTAGATCCCAGAGACAATAATACCACAGACAATGGAGCACAGCACTTGGCTAAATTCATCAACAAGATTAGTCAGCTACACACGTTAGACCTCTCAAACAATAGCATCAATGACAAAGGAGCATAGCACTTGGCTGAAGCCATCAATGACAACAACTGTCAGCTACACATGTAAGATTTCAGAGCCAATAATATCACAGACAATGGAGCACAGCACTTGGCTCAGGCCATCAGCAACAATCACTGTCAACTACGCACAGTAAACCTCTCTGGCAATGAAAATGCACAAGCAGAAAAACAAAACCCAAGTAATTTAGCGATTTTGGGTCCATCTAAGTGTAAACTATCTTTTAAGCCATGGTAATATTCCAATTGCAACTGGTGAAAAAATTTCCTAACCAGAAAATATTTAAAGTACAAGTGTGAGGTTACTGGCTAAGTGATAACAACAAATGAATTGACTCTGTGAGGCACTCACAGCTATGGGATTTTTTGAACCAAATCAAAATGAATATAAATTAACCAATCAACATGTTTATTTAGAGCAAAGGATGTCAAACTTTGTTTTATAACCTGGATAATAACTTTGAATTCCTAGAAAAATTGTAAATAAACTCATTGAGCTTAAAAAAAAGGGTTTATTGTAGGTTATGTGAGATTTACATGACATTAATTTTTAAAAACTTTAAGGTTTATGTAGATGTGGTAACCTTCAGCTTCAGTGAAGTACTTGTTTCAGCTCAAGAAAAAAAAGAGAACACTCGTGACCTTCTTCCCACTTTTTTCAACTCTTTCAATCTCAATTTTTCATCAGTTTTTTTTTCAGGACTTCATAAATTTCCACAATTTTGGAAGAATGGGTATACTCTTTACAAAGCCCATCTGAAAAACCAGGTGATTAGAATTCCTGTGTCCAAACACCTTTATTCAACAAATCTCTCAACCTCATCAAAATGCTTGTTTCAGAATAACTGTGTGTACTTAAAAATTGGACGTTATAAATTTCACTCCCAGAAGTGATTAATAAGAAAGTTCTCCTTACAAGCTTTAAGCTTTGAACAACAAACTCTTTATAGGTGACCCACCTTTTTGCAACCATTACATGTGGATTTAAGTGCATTAGTGATGTTAAATCTTAACTTCCCAAAGTGTATTACAATATTTGCTGGAAAGCCCACCTCCAAACACAAAAATCTTTTCACCACACCCTTCCATGGAATGTCCAACAAGTTTTGGGGCATCTCCTACGAGGGGCAACTTATACCATTTCATTGTGTCAGTTTCTAAAACGAAAGCCTCATTTGTTACATTCTCCCTTACACCACTCCAGGTCTCCCCACCAAAAATTAGCAAATGTTTACTGCCCAGCTCTACAGCTTTAGCGTGCTGTCGACCACTAGGTTCGTCGCATATGGCAGACTTTCTGAGCAATTCAGAGATTCTCTGCTGGGGAAACGACGTCTCAGTTTGTTCCATTTTCCTCCACGAGCCAATTAATTCATATCCTCCACTCTTACGACCTCCAAAAACAAATAAATGGTTCTCCCCGCTAGTTCTTATGGGGATAAGATTTGCTGTATGACCCGACCTGGAGCTGGCATGAAATGGTGCTTCAGAATATTTTCCTGTTTCAAAGTTTAAATAAAAAGCACCAGAGAAGCGACGCTGCGTGTGAACGCCTCCTTCACGTCCGATTATCAAAATATCTTTAGAAGATACTAAAGTTGCCGTATGCGAGCTTAATCCTACAGGAATGTCTCCAGTTTCAGGGATATGACGCCAAAATTGATCAACAGTGTCAAAACAAAACACATCAGCGCACCTTTTCCGTCCATTCCAACCACCTATTATCAAAATAAACCGGCCCCTTACAGCCGTCGCTGTATGGTGGCTGACACTCGGTGCGGTGCAAAGTCTTCCCTTAGGAAATCCTGATGAAACTAAAGGTCTGCTTTGAGAACTACCCGGTACTCTGTCCTCAATCCGACTCCACATATTTGAAGAAACATTGTACATGTACATGTCATTTAAAACAGTTCTGTCCGGTGCAATTCCTCCAAAAATATACAGAAAATTTGCTACGACAGAACAAGAATGAAATGCACGTTTACTTGGTACAATTCCATGCGCTGAAACAGCAAAAAACTCCATCACTTTCTGCAGAATAAGTAGAAAATCTCG